GCAGTTGTTTTGATGAATACAAGCGAGAACTTAGACAGCACTTGAAACTCTGGCGCAAATTAGCCCCTTTTCCGCCCGTTTAAACACCAAAAGCGATTTTAGATTTCACAGTGGTAAATTTTCAAAAGGAAAAGCAATTTTATTGTGCGAAAGTGTGCTATGAACTTCTTGACTACAACACTTCCTTTACGTGCGTATTTGTTTACTTTTGCCGTATCTGTAACTGTTATCATATATCTACAAAACGGCTTTAGTGTCAGTAGCTATTCTTTAAAATGCTCTCATTTCTCATGAACCAAATCGTTATAGCTATAAAAAAGGAAAACGTTTTGACCTACCTCACATTATTTGACAACAGAACCGAATCCTTTACTGCCTTTAACGAAATGAGATTGCGTGACAAAGGACTTTGAGACCCAGGTTGAAGACAGATACCATTCCGAAAAAGACACTCACGCGGTGCCTTCTGTAACTATAAAAGCAAAACATGTAAATAATCAAAATCTTTAGTTTCACTGACTTATCCGCTAGAGCGATTATGAAAACGTAAGACTGAAAAAACATATTTTCCACAACAGACTATGAAGTGGTTGGCCCTTATATTCTCTTACTTTCCATAAACGCCTGCTTACACATTTTGAAATACGATTATGAATTCCTTACTTGTATCCTTAGAAAAATGACATTTAGGGGAAAAAGTGCTAATTCCTAGTCTTAAATGTCATCCGTCCTTCCCTCCACCCCTAAGGGGCGGCAGCCCGTTTTGGGGTGGGGCGAAGAAACGCAGAACATTTCAAACTGGACATAGCGGGGCTAGAAAACCTGCATAATTTTAGAGCACCTCTGGTGTTAAAAGCAAAGCTTTCAGTAGTTCTGGCAATCTCGAGCAAGTTTTGCATTTCTGAGCAACGTTTGGGAAAAATATAGGCTTATGTCAAGCCAGAAAAAAGTGAGCAGTTTGATAGAAAATGTCAAGTACGACTGAACCGCGCCCGTATAAGCGCCCCTAATGATTCTGGCAGGGGGAGGGGGGGAATTTTGAAATGGAGCTAAGGGGACCTAGGTCTAACCATACCGTCTGCGCTTTAGCTGTGAGTCTGCCTTGGAGATAAATTTCGCTCATATTTTTGAGCAACTCTTTAAAGAAGATTGCAAGCCGTATAGTTGCGTCCGTCTGGAACGCTGGAGCGGTGAAACCAATGATCGCGCCCCTCGCACCTTGAAAAAAAAACTGCGTTTTTTGAGAAAAAAAGGAAACGAAAATAAAAGAGAAGGAAAGGCCGTTCGCACTAACTAAAAGCTATTGTTTTTTGCATTGCTATTGAAAATCTGAAAAGGAACAGTCTTACACACGTAGCCCTCGGGGCGGTACCAGGTGAATATATCACATACCCCATCGTTCCAGGTATATAACCTTTACGTAAGCGTAGGATGTAAGACACACTTGCGGATACGCGTAAGCATAACGTGAGATACCCAGGCGCAAAAAAATAACAGTGGCGCGGCTAATGTTGGCTCCCCTTAAAAATGAAGCGAATTAACGTGGGCTTGAAAAGTGAGATATTCGGATATCTTCGGGATAATTGATAGCGAGTTATTTCCAGTCCACGGACTTTCTCCTAAATTTTTCGAAAGTATTTGTTCTCTTAGAAAACCCAGAATTTCGAGATTTCTTGATAGTTTTATACATACGCTAATTATGAGATTCCTTTTCTTCTTTCCTAACGATAAGTTAAATAGGTCAAGAAAAAACAGCTTTCAGTAAGTTAAAATAAGTTTTTTGAGGCCGCGATCTTTGGTTTCACCGCTGAGCGTTCCTGACGGGCCCAAATATAAGGGCTTGCAATCTCCTTTAAAGAGTTGCTCGACACTGTGGGTAAAATTTATTGCCAAGGGAAACGGACAACTAAAAAGCAGACGGTGTGCTTAGAGCTAGGTCCTCTTTGCTCAATTTCAGAGTTTCCCTTCCCCACCCAGCCTCCCCCTCCCGCCCGAGTCATAAGGGGCGCTTTTACGGGCGTTGTTCAGTCGTACTTGACATTTTCTATCAAACTGCTCACTTTCTCTGGCTTGACATGTGCCATAACCTATATTTTGGCAAAACGTTCCTCAGAAATGCAAAACTTGTTCGAGTTTGCCAGAACTACAGAAAATTTAAACACAAGAGGTGCTATAAGGTTATGCAGGTTTTTTAGCCCCGCCATGTCTAGTCTGAAGTGTTATGCGTGCCTTCGCCCCACCCCGAAACCTGCTGTGGCCCCTTAGGGGGTGGAGGGAAGGGACGGATGACATTTTAGACTACGACTTAGCGCTTTTTCCTAAGAATACAAGTAAGGAATTCATAATCGTATTTTAAAACGAGCGTGATGAAAACAAAAGACTACGGTGGAACCTTGATTTAACGAAGGGCCAAGGGCCTAAAAAAATTTCTGAGCCACCCAACGACGGTTTCCTTCTAAATTCATTGAAAACATTTTTCAATGGTGCACCCAGAGTACTTTTAGATCTCTAGAAATGCATTCTAAGCGGCTTGTAAAATTTGTTCCTGTTCGGTCATCCTAGGGAAACTTGCATTGAGCATTTTTGAAATTACAAGGGCTTCAGGATTATTTTCCCAAAAATTTTAGATGCAATTTAACGTATCACGAAAGTGAGAATTTTTCTGATTCCTCTCTCAATCACATGTTTGAATCCGACCATTTTAGGCTTCCTCTTTTCTATGAAAAATTAGCCTAACCTGGGATGTAAAATTTGAAAAATTAAACTTCAGAAAATCGTAGGGAATTTATAAGATAACCTTCGAAAATTAAACAGGAACGGAACGGTCGTCTAGAAATTTTTAGGCGTCCTCAAGCTATAGAAAATTCTAGGCAATATCTACTTCTCCCATGATATATTTTACAGAAAAGAGTCGTTGAGTGCCCCTGAAATTTGCTCGCTATAACGAGGTATCGTTATATCGTTTTTTTTTTTCATACCGTAAATCCTCTATTAAGCTCCCCCGGGGGGCTTATTATTTCAAGCTCATTTGAGGGGGAGGGGCTTAATAGAGACGGGGGGCTTAATATGTTTAATTTAGAAACTAAGATGGTATCGCTTCTCCATAAAGCCTACAAAGTGGAAAAGCTCAAGTACAGGAGGTTTTAGGTCATGCACTCGAAAATCATTATCAAATCCGAACTTCCCGTTGGTAAATAAACAATCCCGGATCAGTCCACACGAAGCCTTTACGGTCGTGATTTATTAATACAGTCTTTCATTTATTAGTGAAGAATAATTACGGGTGGGAAGCGGGTGCTTGATAGAAGGGGGGGGGGGGCTAATCAGAGGGAGGGGGGTTATTTGACAGGGGGCTTTAATATAGGTTTTACGGCATATTTTACTATTATCGAGGTAAAGTAAATTATTCGTAGGTTCTTTATATCGCGGTTCCCCTGTATAAGGGCCCACCCCTATATAGTCTTTTGACGAAAAAATATTTTTTTAGGGTTACGTTTGCAGGGTCGCTCTGGCAGATAAGTCAACGAAACTAAGGATTTTGATTTTTTACATGTTTCGCTTTTATAGCTACAGAAGGTGCCGCGTGAGTTTCTTTTTCGGAATGGTATCTGTCTGCGCGGTATAACCTGGGTCTCAAAGTTCTTTGTCACGCAATCTTGTTTCGCTAAAGGCAGTAAAGGATTCGGGTCTGTTGTCAAATAATGTGAGGTAGGTCAAAATGTTTTCCTTTTTTTATAGCTATAACGATTTGGTTCATAAGAAATGAGAGCATTTGAAAGAATAGCTACCGACATTATTAGCCATTTTGTACATATGTGTACGGCAAAAGTAAACAAATACGCACGTAAGGGAAGTGTTTGTAGTCAAGAAGTTCATAGCACACTTTCGCACAATAAAATTGCTTTTCCTTTTGAACATTTACCACTGTGAAATCTAAAATCGTTTTTGGTGTTTAAACTGGTAGAAAAGGGGCTAATTTGCGTCAGGGTTTCAAGTGCTGTCTAGGTTCTCGCTTGTATTCATCACGACAACTGCAAGCTCAGAGGTCGTAAATCACGCGAGTACCGTAAATGTTTTCCGTTGTAAAAACTTGCAGTTTCAATTGCCCCAGAATTTTATTTCACAGATTGATAGGGGAAACATTGCTCTTTCTCTGGAATACCATTTTTCTAATGAAAGCCATGTACCAGGAAGGGATTTTCGCCGTTGAAAAATGGCAAAATTGATGGTCGCGATAATGCTGATTTAGAGGGTAATTTTGAAAAAATATTAAAAAATCAGATTGAAATCTTTTGAAATTGCAACAACGTTTAGGTAGAAAGGAAGGATCATAACATTGTTTAATGTAAGAAAAGTTATGGTATTAGTTTCCGTTTCCATTCACGAAGCGAGGGTATCAAGCACATTTTTCGGTGGTTTGAAGGCCTCTCGAAGGTGAAAATTAAAAAATATTATTATTTTGGAAAATATTAAGTCAAACGAACTGAGTTTTGTATTTTCTAAAATAGTTTCCAAAGGGCTTTGTTGTGACAAAGTTTGGGGGATTTCGATTTTTCCATCTTGCACACCTATCCGTGGTATTTACAGAAAGTCGCTCTTAAGACTGCAGTATAATACAGCATAAGTACAATTCTAGGCCATTCCTCTTATGGCCCTCTAGAGCTAACTGAGGTGAGATCTGTGGAATAACAGTCTTTGAAGGAAAGATGAAGTTAAGTGCCATTTGAAGCTTACCAATAAGACCAAACTTGTACTGAGACAGACACAATACATTAGAACACTTCCTTATTTTATGGCAGGTCTTTTTGTGTAAGTTGTTTTTGTGTTTGTTTTTGTCTTATTATTTTCCTTTTTCTTGTTCCTTAAAGGAGCCCACCTCAGTTAACAAACGAACTCGCTTTCCCCTTGTTTAAAAATTTCAAGCTATAATTCCGGACTGATATTTAAACTTGTAACTCTTGAAAAATGATCTTTGGCATGAAAATGTCTCATTCTTGCATGCTCCTTTATTTTTATAGTAATGTCACGGTTCATGGCGAAAGTGAGAGCGAGGACTACACAAATTAAGTAATAGTGTGTACATTAGGACTACAGAGATATACTTCTATGGTTTGAAATCGACACATGACTGTCTCAAAACTCTTCAAAGGAATTTTTTCCGAAAAATAGTTTTTCAGTAACGATTCTATTCATTGTTACATTGACCCATTGTAACTCATCTAACTCAACGCTAGCATAGTGCAATTCGCTTGGCAAATTTCGAGATAACGATCAAGCAACGGCTGCATTTACCACTAGTAATAGTTGACTCCACAGCTGCCCCCGCCCCGTATATTGTCAGTCAATGGTATCCTTGGCCGTTGTGTAGCTCTTTGAAACATACCGATTCATAATGAAGATTTTCACACATACTCCATACAATAGGTGAGATAAAAACAGAAAACGCATGGTTCCATGCACTGAATCAGTTCGATTTAGACAGCTTTGATCAGAACATTCCTAGTTTAGTTTATTCTAAACCGTAAGAAAATATTTTATCAGAAGTTGGAAAGTTTCGCTATTTCTCTTTTAATTTTTACATACAGTTTATCTTATTTGCCGGAAAGTAAGCCTTGAGAACTTCAAAGGTTTGATCAATTCACGCTCGTGCGTTCTAGTCCTTTTTCAAACTTATAGAAGGACATCTGTGAGCAGGGAATAAGTCAGCACAGGATTTAACTGTCGAAGAATGTCTGTAATCGTCATCGTTCTGCTAGTGATTAGCTAGCCGTTGATTCACTCGTCTTGCCTTTTTGTGGACTGAGTCTTATTTCCCCCAAAGAGAGGTCCATAACTTTCAAAACAGCTGCTCCACACTGAATGTCACTGATAACGCTTATGACTTTACAGTGTCACAAAATCTACCTAAGTGGTCCCTTCAGGATTTTCTGTTTTACGTCATGCTAACCATCTCTTACTTGCGGGCGCGAACAGTAGCGAACATTTGCGTGCGGCCCCAGTTCAAGCAAATGGAGATTTTTCCTGGCATATATCGACTGTATATTTCAACTGTAAGTACTTTTCTACATATACGCGCGAGCTACTAGGATGCCTCTGCGAGGGCAATCAACAAGCTTCAGATTCCTTGGAAAGGCCATGAAGTAAGCCATACTCTCTGGCTGTGGATTGTGCATGGTGCCAGTTAAACCTTACTTTATTTAGTACTTCAAGCGTGGATGCTGGACTGAATCAGCAAATCAAAACATGGCAAAGTTATTGAGTTGTCCGCGTATCATTAATCACCGGCGAAGGCCGGGTTGTCTCTTTGAGTGATGAATATGGCAGACTACATTTAATCTAAAATATCAAAAATACATTTTACTCCCAATCAGAAACAACGTCGTCAAAGACCGGAATGCTCTCCAAGCTACCCCAACTACTACTGAATTCATACGTCTTTTAACACTTCCAGACTTCCCCACGGCTGTTGAGATACGGACCCAGATTCCAAATATAAGGTTCATGTTTGACTTTCTCATTGCAGAGGAACTTGCCCTCGTCAGTACACTTCGTGCAAACAAACTGAAGAGTATCGCCCCTCCAGCCATGTGCGTAGTTACACCGATCAGTTTCTTCATTGCCACTCCCCAACTTGTGTTTACGGCATTCTTGTGCCTTTCTAGACCCCAAAACAAAAGCTCCGTGATGCAGTTTTCCGTCACGGGTTTCGCATTTTAAATCAAAGTACTTCTTTGTAGATCCTCGGCGTCCTAAGACGCTCCTGTCTTTCACTTCATCTACCTTTGCTTGGCTTTCTCTGCCTTTAGACGTCTTCCTCTGAACTGTTTGCCATTGGTCCTTAGACGACGCTTGCTTGTTGCCATTCCAACGTGATTCAGACTCATTGTGAGTATTTTGAACACTTCTCCGTTCAATTAACGCGTTGAAACGACCACCAACGGTAATCAATCCGTTGTTGTCATCAGAGGCTTCAGGTATGTCATGGAAAATTTCGGGATCGCTGGAATCGTTCTCGTTAGAGTTTTCTTCTAACAAAAAGTCCTTTGCTTGAGGTTGATGCAAGCGAACTTTTCTTCGTGCACCACACTTACTAGTGTTATTGCTCAATTGGCTGCTGTGAGTTGAGCGTTCGGAAAATGCACTAAACGTTGCAGGTACTAGGGACGCACTTTGCCTCTTAATAGAGTCGTAAGTGTCATTATCCACAGGATCATAGGCGTAGGGGCCAGCAACAGTAAAACCAAGGTAAAACCACAAATCGTCTCTACTTTCATTTGGGTAAAGTGTGTTGTCAAAGTTGATCTGGATTCCATGGTATGAAATGATCCCCTTTCTGCCTGTTTCTTTTTGACCTTTCACACGTTCCAACTTCTCAGAGGGTTCCTTGCCTCGCCAAAATTGTGTTTTGGTTTTCCATTTTGTTTCCACCCACTGAAATTCATGACTATTGACAATGGCGTTGAGTCCAATACCCTTACCAAGGAAGTACTCGGCACCAGATTTTCGAAACCCAGAACCTGCCTTTTGTTGAACAATGGTGACACACTTCTTGATTGCCTCCTTGGTTTGTGGAGTGTATTGGGCAAGGCCACCACTGGGAATAGGAAAGTGAATCATATAGTAGAAAAGATTGGCCCATTCTGAGTTAGGAAACTTTTCCACAAAAATCTTGATTATTTTGTCGAGGTCGTCAACCGGGGGTTTCTCTTTAAGATGAAGACACGCCTTCGAACAAATAAGCATATCATTGTGGCTGCCATGGCCAAGAAGGCAAAGGGATTTCAAAAGTTGATATATTAAATGCACATCATTGTTATCAAGTTTTGACCATGAACTGTAAGGGGTCTCGTCTTTAATGTAAAGAATGTCTTGAACCTGCTGTTGATAGAGAGCAAGGTCTTGGCTAGCAGAAGACAACAAGCGAATTGAGTATTCTTCACTGCACAACTCTGTCTTGTCTAATCCAGTGATTTCGTAAAATTTTCTCCGCAGATTAGACCCCCTTATCTTCGCATTGTTAAGGCTTCGTATTTCATTCTCATCATAGGTGGTCGTTTGCTTGAGCTTCACATTTCCAAACAACTCGTTGAGTACGTCAAGTATCGTGGAACTAAGACTCTGCACGAAACTTTGCTGTTCGAAAGAAAGCACCTCTACCACTTCGGAGGGAGCGTGTCCTTCTTTTAAATATCTCGTGAACTTCATATCGTCAGAGTGAAAACAGGGTAGATCCTTGACAATTTCAAGTAGCAGAATAATGGCTTGTATTTTCCCGATCATTGGGAAATGATTGGCGCCTTTAGACGTCGCCAGAGCTTTGTCGTAAATTTCCAACGCTTTGCGACATATTTCGACTGCTTCAGATAATGAGCGAAGCGATGGAGGCTTGTAATCCTTAAGCTGGAGAAGATAGAGCACACCTTTTGAATTATAGTGGTTTGTGTAGCTGGGCTGGAGAGAAACAGCAATATCGACAGATTTGTGCGCAGCATCGATTCCATTTTGGGGCATGGGATGTTTAGTAGTACTTTCTTTCTTCATGGCGTTGTACAATCTTTGATGCAGATCTTCATCTTTATCCATAACTTTTGTGCGCATCTCGTACCCCATAAATCTTGCTAATTGCTGCCAAGCATAGGCTTTCTCCTCTGTTTGAGTCGCCTGTTCGCATACTGCGAGAAGAACCTTCAGGGCTCCAGCTTCTCGAACACTACTTTCCCTTTCCAAAATTTCTTCGATAACGGGGGAATATCTCGTACGTCTCCCATAAAATCCAAACACTTCATTTTCTAAATCGGTGCCAACGTTACCCTCATCAGCGGCCTGCTCCTTCAGTAATACTGGATCAGATATTCTTTTGCGGTCCAAAAATAGCCTGAAGACTTGCTGTTTTAAGAACTTCGTCACGTAGGCCTTTCCGTGGACAACCTTTTCCAGAGCGAGTACGGCAGTTTCCTCGACATCTATTCTGGATGTGACAACTTCACTTACTAGGGAATGCGCCGGTCGCCAGCCATAGTAACCGTGCTTATCGTCTTGCACTTCCAGGAGAAGTCCTCCGAAAGCTTCATGGATGTCTTGAATGCTAGGACCTTTCGTTTCGGTCCCAGAGAGCCTTAAGTAAAGGAAGTCCAGGACTACTGAATGCGGAAGGATGATATTGCCGTCGCTGTACTTGTTGAAAAAGCAACACATGGCAAGTAGCATTTGGTGCTCCTCTACACGTTCTCCCAGGAAGGCCCCTAGAATGTTGCCAATGTGATTCTGAACCCTTTCTTCGATGTTTTGGTATTCTCGTCCAAAAAGTTCTAACCCAAACCAGATGAACCTCTTTTCTCTTTCCAGGACCTGTTCAGCTTCACGTCTTCTCTCACTGTCGATGCCTGTGATATTGTTTAAGATATCCTTCACACGAGTAGTCTCTTCCTCATCCAACTTTCTAAGAGTAATCTCAAAATTGTTCCCGGTCTTTGAGATTGGCAATGTAGTCAGTAAAACGCATCTCGTCTGCCTCTTCTTGATATGCTCGGTTAACAGGCGCACATCACTCTCTGGAAAATTGTCAACGAGCACCAGAACTGGACGAGAATAGTGGATATTCTCTTCATCGTAACCAATGCACTGCAATTTCTCAATCTGGTAATCGGTTAATGACGTTATGGCTTTTACCACAGCGCAGCGATATTCTCCTTTCTTACTCCAAAGGACTCTACGGCACAGGGTGGTTGCGCCAGATCCTGGCTCATAGGAAACAGTGATAGTTTTCACTTGGTAGTTTTCGAAAACATTTTCTTTCGTCAGGGACTTTAGTGCATTTGCAACCTTAGCACTCACATCTTTCTCTAGACTCCGTGGGATGCTGTGACCATGGAACAGGTTTACCTGGCTAACCTGAGCACCTTTGTAGAATGCGTCCCTTTCTTTACCAATTTCTTCTGCTAATCTGGGCAATGGAGGTTTAGGACAATATAATTCTAAATCATCCCAAGAGTTGATAGTTTTGTTGAGCACCTCCTTAAAGCCAGTAAAGTAGGGTAGCTTTGTTGTTGCGCCTTTTTCTTCGAATTTAGATGGCCCCACCAATTCGCGTACAATTTCTTTCAGAAGACTACATGGAATGCCAGTTACCGAACATTCGGCAAGTTCTTTCTGTAGTGACAGTTTTGAAGCCTTGATAAATGGCTCCACCACAGTTCTGGACTCACTTAGAATAGTTACACAACTCCTTGCCCAATTTCCAAGAATGCTAAAACTGCTCTCCATGATATCTGCCATTTCATTAACAGCCGTCTCACTGACACAGAGGAAAACACATATGAGGTTTCCAGGAGGAAAACATTGTTTGTACGCTGACAAAGCGCGATACAAACAGTCCTTGGAACACTTAATCCAGTCCCCTTTTTGCATTTCTTCACTGTTAAAAATCCAAGTTGTACTTCGAGTTGAGATAAGTGAATCTTTGTCTGGTGATATTTCTTTGAATTCGTCAAGGGTTCTGATTTTTGCCCGTGGTGCGTCGCTTGTCTCGTTACAGGCATGGTGTAAGCCATCTTGCTTGGAGGAAGGATCAAACAGGTCAAACACGGCCATCCAAGGTATGTTTTGTAAGAACGAAAAATGTGCTGTTCCTCTGTACTGGGCAGGCAACTTGTTTGCGATGAGCATGAAACCATTTTCTTTGAAGTTAAGCTCACGTAATCTCTCTTTTAAAACATCACTGTATCTTTTGGCGTCAGCATCGTCCAAATTGAGTTCTGTAAAATAAAGATGAGAATGTTGCTTATCTAAGTTTGTTGACTATGCCTAGGGTGCATTGAAACATGCATACTGTTCTTGGTTAGTCGCAGCTAAACGCTGACAGGGCCACGGCCTGTGAAAGAACAAAAATCGCACTCACCTTCAGGTATTTCGTGAGCACCTGAAAAAAAGGCAGAAAATTCGGTAAATCACGGAATAAGAAAGCGGCGTCTTTTCCTTAAAAAGATACCGTTTAGCCATTGAGACGTTTTCACTAATTTACGGGACCTAGGAAGCCATCGTATGTTATTTTCCGTTACCACTGATAGAAATAAGGGCGCTAACCAGATGCAGATCCAGGATTCTTGTTAGGAGGAGGTGCACCACTAAGGAATGGCGTAACTGACTTGTGACGAAAAGAAAATTTTAATACAGAATACCAGGGGTATTAGAAAGCCCCAGGTCATCTTATGGGGGGTGGGGTGCTCACCCCCTGCACCCTCCCCCTGGATCCGCCCATGGTATCCCACAGTACTAGTTTTCAATTCAGGCTAAGCTCTTGTGTTGACGAAAAGTTTGGTTTCTAAATTCACTGAAGTAAGAATGATGCCATCAGTGATAGTGGGTAAAATAAACAATTTGCAAAACTAAAATTAAAGAGTATGAAGGTTAATCTTGTCCCAAGATTTCAAGATCTTGGTAGGAGATTTTATGAAGGTAGCATGTTTTACTCATTACTTGGCCCTCAGCTCATCTTAGTTTTAGCCATTATGGAGATCCAAAAAGGCGTTACATATCTTAATTGTAAGCGATTTGGGATAGATAATGTGTTTGAGGACCTCATTTATCTATCATTTCTGTTATATTACTTTCTCTTTCAAAACGTCATTACCTTGTCTTTTCTTCTTCCTCCAGTCCTTGTACTTTACCTCTAGAGGTTTCTTCACTTGGCTTTCGACTTCATATGGTTTAACACTGGTAGACGCGCCATTGGTACGAATTGCAACGTCATCAAACTCATCCTTGACCTTAAAAAAGTCGCTCAATGCTCTCTTTTCACCACATTCCTTGAATACCCCTCGCTTCTCAATCCAGCTTTTGGAGTAATAAACTTTATCTTTGCAGAATCGCCAATCGCGAGCCACCTCTATTTCAATGACGAATGAATGAGAACGAATTCCTTGACTTTTTACAGGGACGAAGTACATATTAACGCAATTCTGTTCTCCACCTTTTTGCAGTGGCCCAGCATCGCTTTTAATATGATCATCAAGGACAAACTGAAATGCTTTGTTGATGTCATCCCTCATTTGCTCAACGTCAAGCTCAATAATTTCTCCATGGTGATATTTCGAACCTTTCTCCAGGCTATCCCCAACACCAAAGTAAATGATGCCATGTCTATCAGCATTTAAACAGGCACAAATGAACTTCTTTGCCTTTTCCATTATTTTCCATGGCAGAGAACAAGAAGGGGCACTTACGAGGGATTTGAACTCCAGTTCTCTGTTTTCTTCAGCATCTAAAACTGACCCCTTTTCATACGAAATACTTCTTCCTGGGACGCCACGACCCCTTGGGGTGCCTAGAAGAGACCCACTTTTGTTAGAACCCTCGAAGTCAGTCTGCGTTTCAGACAAAATTTACCGATCGCCTTTGAATGAAACGACCTCAAAACCTAAAACGTTTAAATGCTGACATATTTTTGACGCTAAGATTTGACACAGACAGGCATAGAGTAGTATTTCTTCCAATGTTGTTTACGTAAATTTCCTTATATTTAAAATTCTTCTTATTGAAGGTGTTCTGATAATGCCAACCATTTTCTGACTTAGTTTAATGACAGGAAGGCTTTTCTTTCTATTGTCAAAATTTAGAGGTACAGTAAATGGTACCAAAAACAATAACAAAAATGAAGCTACTTTTTAAAAACATTACTTACATCTAAGAACATCCTTAGGGTGTTTTGCCTTGTCTTGTGCCATACTATCTGCGTGATGAGCTTTTCCTTTAGATTCACTCGCTTTGTTAAGCGTTTGTTGGGCATTTTGTTGTGCCAGTTTACCAGTATCTGAAGTCACGTTTTCTTGGGAAGCACTTCTGAGCGTCTTAGTGTTTGACTGTAACGCCTCCCGATGTGGTAAAGTTTCAGTAATGTTACCTTTCACCAACATTTTCTCGTTTTGTTTTTCCAGGTAGTTGCCAGCCGAAGGTGCTTGACCTGTCAATAAACACCGCGTTCAATTTACTCTTATAAGCGTCTTCCTTGCTTCTTTGATTCCCAAAAGAGTGTAGGCAATGATAATTGCGAGGGAAGGGTTGCCATAGCAATAACAAGATTATTGACTCTTAAGTAATAATAATATTTAATATTTCTATAGCGCAAACTTACATATACATATGATCAGGAGCCAATTACGGTGATATGATCAAATGCGCTTTACAATCATAAAAATTAGCTAAAAAATATGCTAGTAAACACAGAATTCCAAACGTTAGTCATAAAAACTAGCTTATATTGTATACCATTGTAACAATAAATTACAAAACGTCATACTGAAATGCCAGAAGCATATAACCCTTAAGCCTATAACTCTGTCGCAATGCTGGGGTTTCTTTGGGAACCAATCAAAATTTACTTCCTAATATGGAATTACTGCATGATATGCGATCGCCCGAGTGCTCTTTAGGAAAACCTGTATATTGTGATGTAAATGATGCGCTGCAAAAAGCGTTATTGTTTTACTAGGTAATATTTGACGAAAAACGGAATACACTATTAATCCCCAAAAGACCAGGACTGAGTTGGTTCCTCCTAACAAGGCAAAGTCGACTACCAATGACATGCACCGTAAGAGAAGCGATTTCATAAAGTTGTTACTTCCAAAATGGTTTTTGCGTGACCATTAGCGCAACCAACCTTTAAAAAATCACTTACTATCTATCTAGAATAACTAGTAACATATTTTCAAATAACATTCACTGGTTGCTGAACTGGAAAGAAAAAATTTAATAAAATTCGCTGACATCTTCGCAGAAGTGATGCGTGTAATAAGAAATAGAATGAAACGCAAGTTAAGAAGACTTAGATGTCGGCGATCATGTTTTCAACTGTTATGAATAAACAAACAGAAAACAATAAACAGACAAATTGTTTCTTGAAAATTTCTATTCGAAAAGCCATAAGTTTACCGTTAAAAGCAATTCGCGTAACGCTGACTGGATCGTGGATCCGCTCCCACAAGTAAAATTGGCTGAGTACATGGCAAAAATTAACACTAAAATTGTCTCAAATCGGGCGCATTTCCCAATTTTTCTTGAAAACTCTATCAAAAATATATAAAACGTCTATGAAACATTTATAAATACATAAATTTTCTTTCAATAACGTAGGTTCCTCGAGCATAATGTGTAAAATGTTCAAAATTCTTTCAAAAGGACAAGCGCCTCGCCATAAACGAAACAAGGGTAAATTGATCTTGTCGCGGTTTTCGACGCCATCTTGGCGAGTATGCAAACGCGAGAGAAATTACAGTGTTTGTATAAGAATCTAATGTCGAATAATTTCCGTAGAATGGCGGTTCTGAAAAAAATATGAATTGTAAACTAAAGCTTTACTCCTAAGGAATCTACTGAAAAAATTGAGGGCGTTAGATGCGCTAGAAGACCTAGAACCACTTTTTAAAATTTTCTATACATTTGTCTGTAAGAAAGTCCCGGGAAAAATTAGAGACAAATATATGGAAAATCTAAAGCAAGCCTCTGGAGAAATTTAAGCACAGGTACGCCCAAAAAATTTTAAGTACAATCCTTTGTTTTGTAGCTTTAGTTTACAAGTCATATTTTTTTCAGAACAGCCGTTTTACGGAAATCATTCGACATTAGATTCTCATACAAACACTGTAATTTCTCACACGTTTGCCTACTCGTCAAGATGGCGTCGAAAACCGTGACAAGGTCCATTTCGCAGCTTGAAACTTCTCTTTGTCCAAAAAGGAAAACAAGCTTTTATACGTCACACGTCTAATCAAAACTGCCATACATGTGTTCGCGTATTGTTCTGAGTGAATTAAAAAATCTTCACTCACAAACAAAATGTTCCGTTCCGACTTCGTCGGCGCCTTGTACAACTCGCTTCTGCAAAGCTTGCCATATCATTTTGTTTGTAGTCGTCATGCTGGTTTTGCTGGATAAGAACAGAAGTTACAGATAACTGGTTTACCGTGGTAGATAGGTTTGCAGCTAGTAGCCTGAGGATGATCT